CCTGTGTCCCAGTCCCATTTGTACGGAAGTGTAAGTGTGTAAAAAAGGTGTTGGGAAAACACACACGCACACACACAGGCGCGCACGCACACACATGCACACACACACAGAACGGAGCGCCGAGTGTCGCACTTTTGAGCGCCGGCGCAGCGCGTCGTCACGTGTGAACAGTTACTTTTATTTCCCAGCCGGAATTTCTCTGCCTCTGTTTTTATCTCGCTCTCTCTCTCGCTCTCTCTCTCACTCGGTCTCTGTCTCTGTCTCTCGCAGTCCGCAGCGTGAGAGCAGAGAAATGAGGCGCGCACATGTTTAGCGCCGAAACGCCCTCGCGTTTCTGCCCTCAACAACAAGAACAACAACAACAACAACAATAAAATAACAAAAATATAGAAATAAAATCCCTCGGCATCGGCAACGGGACCCTCACTACTCTCACTCTTCGGACTGACTTCAGAATGACTTAGCGATTTTGGTAAATTAAATGTAGCCCTTTCATGTATTCATTTATGTGCTCGTATTTGGGCTGTGCATTATACAGTGCGTGCCAAATGTGAACGTCTACGTAACTCAACTGATAAGCATGCTGCATGAGACTGTGGTTGGCAACCTGCTTGAGATAGTAGAAGATTAAAAAGATAAGCTGTTTATGCAGCAGGCAGCTTACGTGATCGCTTTTGTATTCATCTCAAGAATTTTTCTTATGTTTTATCCATTTAGCTAAAACTTATCTTAAGTAAATAACGACATAAGTTTTTAAATATTTTGCCCTTAAGAGTCGCCAACTATATATCTTGGGCATAACTCGATTATATTTCATATGTACATATATCATTTATTTAAGATGCGAAGATACTCTATATAGAGTTAAATGTATTTATGTTATAAAATTTATAAAATCTATATTGTGTGACAATATATTTATAACTACTAAGCGGAATACAGTTATGTATTTTTATATTATTAACTACTTATTAGGCTTTATAGATAAGCTTATAATACAAATACTAGGTGTTGACATCTTGATGTAACTGCAATCAATATAATTATTATATTAATAAGAATTGGTTTATACATGCACTAATCGTATGATTCACACTTGATGAATCAAAAATCGATTAGGAGTACCTTAAGTGTTTAGTTTATCTAATGAGTCATAATGAATGACAAATACCTTGGATCAGGCATATTAATAAGATAAGTTCAACCAAGTAGATGCCCGCTGATCAGCAGATGTACCTAGGCTCGTTCATATACGCATACAGTTGGCAATCACTGTTCATTCACACATTTTGCGTGACAGGCAGAGAAGCCGGCGCAGGCGGGACAGAGGCAGAGAGTCGGCGTGTCGCAGGCAGGAAGCATGCGCAGCTTCACACGCAGCGCACCCACACGCGTTAGGGGTATTCACTGTTGTTCGGCTCATGCCATTGTACGGCCCGTGCTGTCCTGCTGCAGCGGATGTTGTGCATGTGTTTGCCCCTCGAGCGTCTGTCGGAGTCGGAGTCAGAGTCAGAGTCAAAGACGTGGACTGTGGAAGGTACACATTTTCGAAAAATAAGTTTATTTTTAACATAATTTTTATTGCTGCACGCGACGAGCAGCAAAAACATCGATCGATGACGATTTGAAATTCAATGCGCGATGCGGCTCAAAGACAGGGCGAAGGTTTTTCTCCTTCTTCTCTGGCCCTCTCTTTCACTCAGTTGCCTTGCTTTCAGTTCCAGTTAAATTGGTTTTCCTTATGGCTTCGTCTTAAATTTCCCCTAAATATATATGTATTGCATGTGGTCAGCCATGTGTGCGGAAAATTGTTCAATTTGGAATGCATTGTGCGGCTTTTCACGCTTCGATTTCCATGCGCACGGCCTTGCGGCCCATTTCTGGCTTTTTGACCATTTTTGTTTTTGATTGAGACATTGCCCAAGTCCCAAAAACAATTGAAACAAATTTCCAGACACGCGCGTTTTTTAATTTTTGTTATTTTTTTTTTGGCGCCTGCTTCTTTATTCAACGTTTCGTTCTTTATTCATGATGAGGCTTTTTATTCGTTTTAGTTTTTCTTTTTTTTTTTTTTTGTGCTGCCCATTTTTAATTGAAGCGCATTGATTTTGATTACTTTTGTGCACTCTGCTCTATAAGGCCCATTGTGGATTCATCTGTGTGTGTGATTTGTGCATGTATGTGTTTGTATGTTTATGGTTTTGGTTCATTGCACACAAACACAAACACAAACACAAACACACACACACACACACACACACAACACTGACGCGTGCCGCTCAGTTCGAAAATTACTCCAGCCACGTTCCCAAACTGTTCCCCTATAGCTATAAACGATCGCATTGCAATATTTTACAACGCTTTAATAATTACTAATAAATTGTTGCAGATTATATATATTTATAGTTAATGCTTAGTATGTGTAATGCCCCATGCCATCCAATTTGGTATATACATACGCATACATATGTTGTAGTTGTTCATTTATTCCGATATGCAAAACCCTTCTATTCCCTCTTTAAGGAGTTGCGAGCTAAATTTAATCTCTATTCAAAATTGTTAAATTCTGATCTCTCTCTTTCTCCCTCTCTTATATGAACTCTTTCAATATTCGTTCTGTTCTTCTTATCCGACTTAGTAAATCAAAAATAATCAGTTACAAACACTAGCTATAATCATGAGAATCTCGTAGAAAGGCAACAGTCAAATGAGACTTGTTGGTCTTATTATTTTCTTATAATTCAGCTACATATCCAAGTGATACCATCTGTTGAATTATTCATTATTTATTCTGTTTGAATATTGCAAGCATGAAATTTCGAATCTGCCAAAATTATTTGAATGATTAATAAGCACGCACATACATACATACAATAGATATACATTTTTGGAACTTCGATTCTAACTTTCGTTCAAATGACGCACTCAATATGAATCATATTTACGAGTAATATGCAATATGGTGGCAATTTTGAGCTATTCATTCATACATGGAACGAAATGGAAAAGGGAATAGAAATTTAGATTGGGTCAGCATGCGCAAAATGGGGAGGGGGAAGTTAATTAAACCTGTTCGCTCTTGGCGCCTCGTTGTGTGCCATAAATCGCTATTAATTATATACGACAAGAATGATCAAATGGTGATTCAATAGATTGCCATGATGTCAGCTTTTTACAACAACAGATCGCATAAAAAGGCAAATAGTACTCGTAACGCTGTTGGTTTTTATTTTGATTGCGTGATAAGATCCAAAATTTAAATACTACTTTGCGAATTAACATTCAATGGACCTTGGGTCGAGGTTGTTTCCCAAAATTCGATTGACAGCATACCATGAAGAAGTTAAGCTACAAGCGTATAAATCGGTTTAGTTTTAAAAGTGTATTAGAGCTTAAAATTCTTAAAGGCTTTACTGTTAATCGTAGTATATGATACTATTTGATCAGTTCCATTGATTGCTGATCAACGTACAGCCCGAATCATAACACTTACCATGTACCTTTGCGAAATCCACCTTCGTGTTCGGAAAATGCATGGAATGCTAAAACTAATTTTTGAAGATCTGTTAAGTTCTATAGATAGTTTTTGTTTAACCTGCGATCTATTTCAATCTTACTTTCAAGGTTTCACTTTATAAAATATAGAATATGTGTTTGCAGAGTCTTATAAACGGGCAAAGAATAAATTTATTTTGCAATCGATTTCAAATACATTTTCAGAAATCTTGATGCTAGCTTTAAATTGTTCCACCGTGTTGAAAATGGTTGGAAACGTGATGTCTGGAAATTAGAAAAAAAAACCGCCCAGTGTTAATTATATAATCGAGTTTTTATTCACACAAAAAAGGGAAAATATATTTATTTAAAGAATATATGCTAGAATGGAATTCCGGATGGATTCTTGGATAGTGCTTCGGATGAAGTGGAAAATTCTACATATTGTTTCACTAAATAAACTTATATATTTGGAATATAAAATATAGAAAATTTAACTGCATTAAATATTGAATGTAGATGCTGAATCAATTGAGTCGAATCTATAATGCTGGTCTTCGTCTTCGTCTCCGTCTCCCTTGGTCTTTGGTTGATTGTGGCAAAGGTGGTTGCGGCAATGCGGCATTGGCCATTGTCATCAGAAGCGTTGTGTGGCACCCTCGCTGAGAAGGAGTACTCCCTTTGCAGCGTATAAATGTAGTAGTACATCATGGGCCTGTGACCAGGCCAGAGCAGGGCAGGGTAGGGCAGGGCAGGTCGGTGCCGGCTGCTGGGGTGCAGTAAATGGGCCTTCATTAAAATTGAAAATAATAAAACTGAAAATAAATGTAAGCAATGAGCAACTGGCGGTCGGCAAAGGCAAATCAAACACTTGAGAGTTGATTAAAAACGGCCCTGCTGCTGCTGCTGCCACAGCCCCGCCACAGCCCCTGCCCCTGCCCCTGCCTGGGCAGCCCACATGCAACAATTTGACGTTTGACTAAAGTAAAATCCGCACAGATGCGTGCAGCATAAAAGCGGCAGACTCGATGAATGAATAATGTGGCTCTCAATCAAAGTGAGTGCAAAGTGAATAAGGTCTGCAAATGGGTTCCGAATGAGGCACTCAACTGTTGCAATAGGTCAGTTGCTTTGATCTTTATATCGCACAGAGTCTCAAATAGAGGCAACTATATTGAGTATCTGAACATTATGAAACATTATATCGAAAAATAACAATCAATATAATAGCTATATAGTATCAGGAATGACTGATCGAAAGATATTGCCTAAATATAAATCATATTCTTACATAATACTGTTAAGTTGGCAAGACTTAGACAAATACATTTATAGATAGACTATAATCACCGAAGCAGTTCAAGATTGTAATACTCGATGGTTTGCGAACTCGAGAAATTGCTGCTGTATATTCAAGATATTTGCATTTGGCAGAATGCAGCTAATGTTAATTGCCAAACCATTTACATGCATTAACTAAATAATTTATACATTTTTATTTGCAGTTTGGTTGTGGGCGCACCCAAGTTCGATACATCCTCGTATCAGGAGCGCGTGGTGGAGGCTGGCGCCGTATTCAAATGCACGATGAACGATGATGACTGCCAGTTGGTAACATTCGATTCCAAAGGTAAGTAGTTGATGGCATAAGTCAACCTTAAGCATTTGATCTGGGAGTGAAGAAGAGATTGCCCGTCCAGTCAGTCAGTCAGTCAGTTGGGCTTGGGCTTGGGCTTGGGACTGGGCCTGGGCCTGGGACTGGTCCCGGCGCCAGTTCAGACCCGAAGCCATGTTGGCAGTCTCTATTTCCCGCACCTGGCACTCAGTGTTCCCGAGTCTCCCAGTCTCCATGTCTCCCAGTCTGCCAGTCTTTCAGTCGCAGTCTCTCTTTGTATTGGCGCCAGCGACAACAGCGCCAAATGCAATTAGTTATTTATGGCTCACACGCATGCGCAGCGTTTTTAGTATGCAAAATGCGAGAATGCAAAAATGCTAAACAGCAAAAATAAGAAAATACAAAAGAAAACAAGAGGAAAAAAACATTAACTGCAAAAATCGCGCACGGCTGCAGTTTATTATTATTTTTAGAAGTTTGCCATTTCACCGGGCAGGCACTTCCTTAAGCGCAAACGGAAATGATAAACAGGCGGCCTCTAAAATAAACAGAGACGCCCATTTTCAAGGTCCACCCCGCACCTGCCTTTCCGCCCGTCCGCCCATCACTCAGCCCCCGCCACGCACAAGCCACCCACAAGCTCAGCCGCATTTGGCAGCAACGGATGCGCAAATAAAAATTATTCGCTTTGTCGACGATGACGATGATGACGTGGATGTGGATGTGGATGTGGCTGTTGATGATGGCAATGTGAGTGCAGTGAAGTCCACTCGATGTGGAGTGTGGTGTGGTGTTGGCGCGCCTTTTGATAGAACAGACAAGCTTCTCCATAACGAACTTCAACAGCATCGATTTACAATAGGCATATACATATAACTCAAATACATAAAAAGATACTTTGAATAGATCAACAATCTAAGGAAAATCCAGAGCTGCAAACTTGCAGAGTTTTGGTATCAATTTTAGTGGGAATTGATTAAGCAAGAAAAAGAAACAAACTATGTTTTGGTAGTTAAATTAGAGGAAAGACTTAGTTGACCAACTTGGTTAAGCTAAGATCGATTGCGAACTAAAAAAATTCAATTAGAGACAGGGCTGTAAAAACAAACCAATGAAAATTCTCAGTGAATGCTGCAAACCAACACTTTATTGTGTTATACTATATTTTATAAAATCTCTAATGATATAATAATTCATTTTCTAATTTCAAATAGCCCGTTTTACTGATATTTTCAGTTCACTTCACACATATTTGCATGTTCTAGGTGCGGGCCACATGTGGCTAGATATAACCATAGATTGGCACTCTCATAAGTTTTGCATAAGCTAAACTAATTTTTGAAGATTATTCTGTGGTGCAACTCATTTGATTTAAGCTTAGACTCTTGTTGCAAAAGTAAATTAGCATTTGGTTACATGCAAGTTTAACTGTAGACTTTAAAGTGCTTTGTTTAGGTAAATTTCGACAGAGCAACATTTGTTTGCTCAAATGTTTGTTGAGAAACTTTTCTCACTGAGACTTTCGTCATGGCTAAGCTGGACTGTAGATGGCTATATTGGTAGCTGATGCCTGTAGTTACCTGACAATTCACCGACCAGCTGAGCCAGCAGCCAGCAGCCTTTAAATGCAATTTCATGTTGCTGCCAACACCTCAAAAATAAAATTATGAACTGAAGGAATCTGGGGACTGGTGAGAATGGGCTAGCCCAGCTCGAGATGCATAAATTGGTCTGGCCGGGTTAGCTTCGTAATGCTATGCTTAAGCAAAGCGTCAAGCCTTTATCAACAAAATGTGTTAATGCTCGTCCCTTACTTTTATATCGTATGCTTGCTTACAAAACAAATATATTAACAAAAAAAATATCGAAAAAAAAACACCAAAAAACGCAAAAAGGAGTCAACAGGTGCTTCATTCAGCTCGCAGGTTGGTTTGTTCATTCATGAACTAGCTATAATTAGTCAACAAAATATTCAAACGAAATGTATCTGATTCATGGCAAAAATAAAAAGATTACTCATCTGTGTATGCATATGTAAATATTCATCAACTCGCCGAAATTTCGCTCATAAATATATATATTCAACAAAATATGTCTGCTTAAATTCGCACTTATCACGAGCGCAAGCCGTCCTTGTTGAAAACAATTTGTTTTCGGCTTTTCGAGTAGCACAATCATTATATGTATATTGTATATTCGGCAAATTCTCGACAGCAGCGTTTTGGGTCTCATCTTACAATTCCAATCTAATTGTTGGATGCATCATTATGCCCTTGCAAAAGGTTTTATAGTTTTCTCATACAAGGTGTAACGCATGGCATGGGACATCTCTGATCCCTTAAAATGTTATTTATTTTTTTGAATGCTTTTATTAGTATCAGCTTGAGTCTAGGAAGGGGTCTCATAGTATAATGGTATACATATATTAAAGATCCAGCATCAACAACCGCGTCAATGTAGCCGTGTCCTTCTGTCCGTCTGTTTGCTTCTATGCAAACTATTTTCTCAGTCTTAAGACTATCATCTTGAAGCTTTGCATATGTCCGTCTATATCACTATATCATATAGTTGCCATATAGTAGGTCGAATAGTAGGCTTCTCAAATAATGTAAGGAATAAAATACTGTCTCAAGTTATTCATTTGACTCTAGCAAATGGCAATCGAGTTTTTTTAAGATAAACATATTTGGATATATATGAGATCTAGGCACAAATACCAGGCTAGAGATTGGTTGTTTTGGAAGTTATTTCCAATTTTAGTTATACCCATATTCTATGCTGTTTATAATATTAATAGTAAATAGCTCTATTGTAGCATCGTTATTACAGGAAGTATTCGTTACCCATGTTTTCAAATTGCATACGTCATTCAAATTATGTTAAATCTTATCCAACTAAAGTTATTAAACTGATGATTATCAATCAATCGATTGTTATCAATCATTATTTTGAAGACACTTTCAATCATCAGCGCTTACTTAATCCCCAGTCTCGCATACACACTATTCCTCAATCATTCCCAGTCTCGCACACACATAACTCCTCAATCATTTATGCAAACGTCATTCAATCAAATTATGTAAGTACTTCAATCAGCGCCCAACGTTTACAGTACGCACCCCATGAACAACGGTTTTCGGTGTAGAGCCGAGCACCAAACGGTAGTTTTTTTACAATAACAGCACAACCCTCCGTTATATTGAGGCCCTCAGAATGTTGTACCGTAATAAATCATTGCCAAACATTAACGGAAGTGGCCATTATGCCGTTATTTGCCAAGTGCCTTGTTTAGAGCAACTTAATTAGTTTGCTTTTGTTTTCCTTTTTCTTTTTTTTTTTTGATATTGTTTTCTTTTTCTTTTCTTGTGCCCCTGCACCGCTCGCCTTTGGTCCCACTTTAAAAGACATCTGTATTAATTTCAGCAAATTTTTCGTTTCCGTCGTGTTTTTTTTTCCACTTTCGGTTGCTTTTTTGCGTATCTTTTCCAATTTATTGTGAGACTCTTAGAATTTAAAAGCACACATTTATTTTATGTTTATGCGATCCACAAAATACTTATATTTATCTAATTGCTCGTCTTTCCCAACTAGGTAACAATCGGAATACAATGGGCGAGGTCATCGATCGCAAGTCATATCAATGGCTTGGAGCCACTGTGGCCACCGGACGGGACAGCGACTTGGTTGTGGTGAGTACTTCACAAATGGGTTTCAAAAGAGTTGAAAATTACATTTATTTACATGTCAGTAGACACGCTCCATAGTTAGTATAACTACTAAGTACATAAAGGAGTTTATCCTACAACAATTTTTACTTGGCTTCCTTTTGGCTGGAGAGTGTACACAAGCGTGATGGCACAAGCCAGCTTGACTTGGTTTTCTCAGCGCTCAGAACTAACAAGCGGCAGTTCGCTGGTTCAAACCCAGCAGCAATTTCGTAAGCCTATTGCTGCTTACCTAATACTGTTAAAGATAAGCTGTTAATGTATGTTAGTATTGTCTAAACTTTTTTATGGTTCTTTTATCATCTGAGTTATAGTTTTATTTATATCTTCCATTTAGTAATTATTTTATGGTGCTAGTTCTCGGATAGTTCCATCACAAATGACCATCAAACCGCATTCAAATTGCATTTTTTGATCAACCCAGTTAATGTGGGTATTAAACGAGACTCATTTGCTGCCAGCTCCACTTGGTCAACTGACCCACTGACTCAATTCTCGCCACCATCGGCTGCCTTCGGCTGGCCCTTTGGTGGTCGCTTGTCTGATTGTTTGTTTTAATGCGCATTGATGGCATCATCGGAGAACGCGATAGCTCGTTAAATGCCCGCCGGGCATCCCAGGGGCACGTTGAAAGTGCAAGCGCAAGCAGCCAGGAGATGCCACTAGAAAAAAAAAACAGGTGGGCGTCAATAACGTCCATGGGTTGGGGGGATTGTGGCACTGAAATTGAAACTTTGAGCTTGAAAGAAAAATTCGAAATGACATTTTTTATTACAATGCCGCAGACGAGTTTCGCTTTTGATGTCAGCTGGCGGTGGGTGTGCAATGCCGTTATACTTGGTGTGTGTGTGTGTGTGTGTGTGTGTGTGTGTGTGTGTGTGTGTGTTTGTCAATCTATATATCTAGATATATGCTTGTGTCCAGTGCTGCTATAGCTTTTTATACGTTTACACTCTGTAATCGTAAAAAGACACGAATGTGTCGACTCTTTAAAATATTTCTTGATCAACCATAAAAAAAAGTAAAAAAAAAATCTCATAATATTTGGCAAATGCTATCCGAAGCTATATCGGAAGTGGCTCAAAACTGAAATATAGGTTCAATCTTGAGATTAGACGGCAGAAGAATTATATATTTATAACGGGTTGTTTTCTTTTCTTGCACATAGGGTATCTCATAGTCGGTCATAGGTCGGTCAACAACAAACACAGCGTCGTAGCGAAATTCTGAATGCGTTTTGATTTGATTTCGATGTGTTGTCTTTTGTTGTTTTTGTCATCTTTGTGGTCGCAGTCAACGTGGTCGTTTCTTAGATTGCGTCAAGTAAGCCACACACACACACACACCATACACACACACACACTCTTACAAAGACACCAGCAATATAAAGCGTGCGCTGTTTAAGGTGCGCCCCAGTCGCAACTTTGGTTAATTGCGTTGGCGTTGGCGCTGGCCACAAGCCGATGGCATAGCCGGCCGGAGCAACACCCACCCACCCGAGCGACTGGCCAAGAGCGAAGCGTCCAACGGTAACATTTGATTTTCACTTTAGTTCTCAATTAACTTTGATTTGGCCCATTTGATTTGGCAAGCAAACGAGCCGTTAACATTGATGGCCAGCTGCGGAGCCCATTGTTACAGTTATTGCGGCCATTGTTGTTGCTGTTGTTGTTGCAGTTGCCTTTGTTGGCCATCCATGTCCAGGTCACTTCCGCCACGTGCGCACCCAGCGCTGACCTGGCCTTCAAATGCCCATTAACAGGCCATCGATTTATGTTTGCGCCAAGTGCGCAACTTGCGGCTTGAGCTACATCATCATAGTCAGCCGATAACAGCAACAACAACAACAACAACAACAACAGCAACTACAAGAACTTCAACAACTGAGGCTTATGAAAGAATCTGCACATACAAAGTTGTTTGAAACGAGGCCCAAAAAAAAGTTGTTGCTCTTATTTGATTCGCGGTTCGAGCCAGCAGCCTATCTGATTTTGGCTCAAACCTTGACTTTGAATAAAACAGTTCAATTTTGTATCTTCATAACAAGCAAGCCATAAATTATTACGTATACAATATGCATCTTAATTTGGTCTTTAAACAAAGTTGTCTCCCCATCTCCCAATTCTCAATTTATTTAAACTACACTTTGGTCCTGAATCATCTTCTTCTTCTTCTTCTTGCGGTTGGGCTGCTTTGGCTTAAAGTTCGGTTCATCTTAGTTTAATATAAATTGTTATAATATATAATCGAGCTTTGTTATGCTAAGGTTTTCAGTGATATTTAAAAGATATTTCTTGGTCAGCTATTTCTCGCATTTAATGAATGCCTCAAATTGTAACTCTTAGATGCCAACCTGGCCAGGCAGATCAGCAAGTCTCTTGGGCGGATTTGTGATGAATGAAGGCATCTCAGTGCTAAATGGGATGACATCAGACTGAACCCGAACGACAATTGGCGATTGGATAGTGTTGTTTGGGAGTGTTACGTGGTACGTGGTACGCTGTACGTTGCACGAATGGACTGTGGCAGTGTTGCCCCCATTCCCCCGCCGACGTTTGGGGCATGTGCCGCATGTCGTGCGGTCTCGTTTCATTTTTGTTTGTTGTTGCGATTGCGACATGATCATCGACACGATCTGTGAAATTGCCAGCGCTATTGAACTCAACTCAAATATGGCCCAGCCACATGGGCAGCCACAGGCCATGCCTCGGGTATCCGATCTCTTTGCGATCCTTGCGAAAAGTTTTGCATTCGCAATGATAACGTCTGCATGTCGACCATGTCAAGCGTGTTGACTTTTGACTTTTGCTGTTGCTGTTGTTGCTGTTGCTGTTCGGGACAGCATCGCAACGTTCTCTGGCCGTCTGCAAAAGTGCAGTTTAATGTCTCAAAAATTTATCGCTGACATTTTGGTATGTGCTCTGTGCCCAACATGGACAATAAACCACAAAGCTGGCTAAGATGCAGCACAAAAAAGTATAAATAAAAATAATAATCGTTATATGAAAACCATTCAATGTACGTTTGAAAGCACGGAATATCAACCAAACGTATTTGGCAATGCCTTAAATAGTTGAACTTCAGCCCTGAACATATTTTAGTGAATTGACTAAGTAAAAAATTCCAAGCTCGAGCTTTGCTTGGCACTCATAAGGTTTTCATTCAGGTCTGAAAGATGGAAGTTCAATTTAAATTTGCTTTGGTTCTGCACAAAAATAATGCTAACTATTTACACAAAAGTGGAGAACATGACTACTATAAAACGGCGCCCAACGTGGGCATATGGTGCTTTGCTTTTATAGTTAGATTTAACCCTTGAGCATACTTTGCTGCATTGACAAAGCTCAATAATACTTAGCTCTTTCTGACTGCTTAAATAATTATTATGCTGACATAAAGCTTGCTCTCATAGGGCTTTCATTCAAACAGATATTAGTTGAAGAGTTTGAAATATAACTTCCCTTTCATAATAAAAAACACACTTAAGCTGAACAAGTTGTTTTGTAAAGAACTAACGCTATCTACACTACCCCGGGTCAAGAATATGCTTCAAAAGAATGGCGCCCAACGTGTGGCATTCATAGCTTTGTCTGTTATCGCTAGATTCGAGCCTTGAGCATATTTAATTGTTTTGAATAAGTAGAATTAATCTATTGTTGAGCTTAAATTTCAATTTGCCTATTAGATTCCTTTCAATTATTCCTCAAAAACTTAAATAAATTCCGTGAGTTAGTTCCTATGTACAAATTAAGCAAGAGCTCAGTAAAAAACATACACTGACTCAATCAAGCAAGTCTGGAATACTTTTGTCCCAATGTCTCACTGTGGAGCAGAGATTTTCGTTTCGGCTCGTTTTGCGCCCAGCAGCCAGGCCTCGCATTCAGCTTGAAGCTCCATTTGCATATCTAACTATCTTACCGCGAAGACAACTGGCAACCAGCAGCAACTCAAAGCTCAGTCAACTCTCATGGATTTTTTTCCATTACTCAATGCGGCGCTGATAATAAAGTTTTTAATAGGAAAATGCTATTAACTTATTGGCCGCGCGGTGGGCCCTGGTCAACGGGGCCAGCTCCGATGAAGTTGCTGTTGCACATTATGAATTCAATTGAATTGTTCAATGGCCCGAGCCCGGTCCAGGGACCTGGGCCTGCAGCCAGACGATTGTCTTTACTTTTTCTTGATTTTATGGCTGCACTGAGTGCACCTCAGGTGCTCCAAACAGCGATATGAATGCGACTATGCAAATATGTAGCAGGGCTGAGCATTCGACAGCAATGGGCCATTTAAATGTAAATGTTGAAAATGTTCGTTTTCATAGATTTCATATTTCTTATATAAAAAAGGATACTTGCCGCAAAAAGCAAATGTATATCAGAAATTCCTGGATGTTTTTTAAACTACAGTAAAAATCTTTGCTCATAGAAATTGTTGCCACAATCCGTATGCAATTTGAACTTCCTTAATACAATGCTTCAGCAGAAATAAATAATAATAGTAGAGACTACTCTATAGATAGCCCAAATTTTTGCTTTATTGACAGGCTTTCAATTGGGAAAGTTTTCCTTTGCTCAGTTTGGGTTTTATTCGAAAGAAAGATTTATTATGATTGAAAGTGATTCAGGATTGGCGAAAGATGAATACAAATTGGTCAGGATCAGAGCTAAGTCTATGAAATTGTAAGAGAATATGTACGAAACGCATTCAATAAATGCCTGGCATAAATATTTGTAAATGTTGTGGCATGTGTGCGTCCCTGGTCTTGCGGCTGGGACGTCGTCGCTTGCATAATGCGAGAGCATAGATTTCTGATTCAATGGGTATTTGAATGAGTTGAGGCGTGGCAGCAGCGCCAGACTTGGAGCTGCGATGATGTGATCAGCATGCATTTTTGGCGATTGCGCGTCATTTTTGAGTTTACGTCAGAGGCAGAGGTGTGCAGGGCATAGCATGGCGTGGCAAGGAGTGAAGTGGAGCGCCGTGGCGTGGCGTGGCGTGGCTATCGAGCAGGAGCAAGTCAATAGAGCTGCTGGCTTTGCGATCCTGCCACTGGCAATGCCATAAAAGGCACAATATGTATAAATTTGTAAAAGTAATTGCAGGCATATGTGCCACAGAGCTGAGCATCAAACAATGCCAGTCCGAACCGAACCGAACCGAACAGAGCCACGCCAAGCTGGGCCGGGCCGGGCCGGGCCGTGCCGGGCCAACTGCATGCCAGCCATATTTGGCATGGGCCATAGGCCCAAGTATTGCCAGTGTCTCTGCGAGCAGCGCCGGCAGCGTGCGTGTTTTATGTCCAACTGCCAGCCATTTATACATTATAAAACTATATGGACATATATACCGACAGGCAAACAGAGACAGACTGAAAGGCAGACAGACAGACAGACAGACGACAGACAAGCCAATGGAGATGGAGATGCAGCTCCAGGGTCGCACCGTACCGTACTATACCATAAGATCAACTGTACCGTACCGCAACGTACCGCACCGCACCGCCCCGAACCGCTCCGTTCTCGTCTCATCTCGTAATTCGCTTTGGCCATTTTTGGTGTGCAGCATTTCATGATCTGCTTGATGCTGTTGCCATTGTTTCGCATTTTCACAACTTCACATCGTGGCATTTGCTGCTGCCCACAAAAGCTAAATAATTCTCAAGTTGTTTTTCTGTGTCTGTGTGTGTGTGTGTTTGTGTTTTCATTGTCTTGTTTTACTTTTTCATTCCTTATTGTTGTTTTTTTGCCTTTTCAGGCCTGCGCGCCGCGCTATGTCTTCCACACGATGACGCCATCGAGGGCGCTGCGCTATGATCCGGTCGGCACCTGCTTCACCTCGCACAACTTCAAGCAGTTCCACGAGATATCGCCGTGTCGCACAAGTAAGTGGGTCGCCCAGAATTAGACCAGGCCAGTCCAAATTACCTCCAGCTCGTGTGATATGCACTTTAAAGTAACCTGAGCCCTGTGTACGCCGGCCAGGGAATCCCTTTAAACGCGAAAATTACACAAGCAAAAAGCAAAAGAAAACCACCAAAAAAAAACTCAAGAGAAAATAAATAACTGACAGGCAGACATAACACGTATGCACCAGGCACAAGGACAAAGCCTTGGTGTCAGATTTAATGGCATACACTTCATTGAGGGGATTCCTCAGATTAATTTCATTTCATTTTCATGCAAATTTAATGACCCTGATTTTATTTTGATTTGATTTTTGGTAGTTCTTGCTAAAATCATCTGCGGAAACGCCCTTTGAAGTTTAGAAAAAGTCCAATTGTCTCTTACAACTTCAGTTTCAGGGGTCTTGATCGACCTGGGAGTGAAGTACAATTCGAGTTCTGCCAAGTTTCAAAATTATAAAAATCTAACTTAAATGCTGACAATTTTGCCATAGTATTTAAGAGAGGGAATAGAAAGTAGATTATATAAAAGGTTACTATTGATGCGTTGTCCAGGCAAATGAAAAAATGAAGATGCTGGTTCTAATCCCTTGCTAGTGTATCGAAATGGTTTTGATGTACTATATCTTATCTTATATCTTATATCCTATATCCTATATTTGCAATAATAATATTTAAAAAAAAAGGAAGATGCTGGTTCTAATCCCTTGCTAGTGTATCGAATTGGTTTCGATGTACTATATCTTATATCTCATATCTTATATCCTATATTCTATTTCCTATATTTACAATAATAATATTAAAAAAAAAAGAAGATGCTGGTTCTAATCGTTTGCTGGTGTATGGAAAAAGTATTGTCTAAGTCGGAGGCCATTTGATAGTTCTATAGCCTATATTTCAATAATAATATTTAGATACACATATTTCTTTTACCAGATGCAGCAATATCGTATAGTAATTTGCCTATTTTACCGACAAATTCCAAATTTGAGTGCTTTCATGCGCTGGAGTATGGCTCCGTGTAGAAAGATTTATGGCACTCAAGAGGCCGTAACTTGCAACAAATATGTATTCCCCCAAAAACTAAAACATGTCTATTAGTGTATTCTTGGTGTCGGAAAGTGGCAACAAAATATATCAAAGCAGAGCATTCTGAAGTGCATTATGCTTGAGATTTTGGTTAATTCGGAACTGCCTGCCAATTTGTTTGCTTAGTCATGTTATTATATGTAGCATCTCTCTGTCCCCCTCTCTCTCTCTATATATATATGTATATGTTCTTTTTTATGTCGGTACCTAACCATAGTCTATGTGTGCCCCCACATATAGCTGGACATGTAGACACATGTGGCACGGCCACGAGCTTATTTTTAGCATTCACAACAGATGCAAAGCACATATACACACCCATTTCTTGGACGAACTAACATAACATATATATGTATATAAAAATATATATACATATATGTATATAGACGGTCTCTATCTAATCTGCAGATTCAATTTGTTGAGCAGAAATTAATCAAGTTCTGGCTCTTGATGATTATTTTTAGTATTATGCTCATAACGAGACGAAATGCTTGATTGCTTTTTATGTAAAGGCTTATTAAACTTAATAATATAGCACGCTTTTGTTTTTACTATCCGCCTTATGTATGTCAGACTGCCTACTGCTGCTAGGTCAAATTCAATTTTCTTCATATCCAGCGATCTGAACGTCAAGTGGCAACAGGCAACATTGAATTGAATTGAAATTTGTCCGAATGTTATGAAAATGCCTGGTTCAAATATTTAATTTTCACATACAAGCTAGTTCTAGTTGCCTTGTGGATACATACTACTATCCACATTCATGCACTTAGCCGGGTACTCGAACCTGGACATTTACATATGTCTGGTTTATACACTTCTTACTTAACATTTTCTAATTGCTTGATAAATATGTGCTTCTTTCGGTTGAATATTTTATTTATACACTAGATTTGAACCCGGACATTGTTTGTTTGGTTTTATTTTTTTTCAACTGATATATATACATAACCCGAGTCGTCTGTTCGATTCTTGCCATTCAAATTCGGCTTTAATGCCTAGTTCTACTTTTTTCGTGCTTCTTGAAATTGATATATTTTTCTTCCGCAAGACTTTTCCAGTTCCACATCTATACTAGCGCCAGCTCTAATTGCTTGGTGTTTCCTTTGTGTTTGGCATTCTTCCACAAGAATATTCACTTTTTTTACCGGCATAAACTAGCCGGGCCTCGAATCCAATTTGAGTAGGTTCATATAAAACCCTTGCTTAATTTGATACTATATGATATACTGCAAATGCTCGGCCATCAATGAATTGTTAAAATAGTTAAAATTCCTTTTGAAATTTTTGAAAATATCAAATAGAGTTCCATTTAATTGATTCAAAGAGATTCCCAATATATGTTGTCAAACAATTTCTGGGCGCAGCGCTCGGCAGCAGGCCGAAAAGAATTGAAGGCGATTGCTCAATTGTTGCCACTGATCGATCCAAGGCCAATTTAATGATTCTAAACGCATTGCCAGGCGCTGTCTGGTTCCCATTGCTGTTGTTGTTGTTGTTGCTGTTGCGTTATTAATGTTGTCGTTGTTGTTGTGAAATGATTAGCAGCAGCGGCCGCAGCGGCAGCAGCTACTCATCACATGACAGTTGGGCCAGCACATTCCGACATCACTGAAAGCAATAAATACCAACTTAACGCACAAAATACCAAACTAATAGTTAAGGCGAATGAACAAAAGGTACAAAAAAAATAAAATAAAATACAAATAAATAAAAAATAAAAAAGACAGCATAAATGAGTAGAGACCGAGAAGAAGAAAAGGGGTAAGCATTCAAAGAACATGCGGCAACAAAAAGCTGCCCAAGAGAGCGACAATACTTGAGAAGATACTGCCAAGTGGCCGACAGTTAAGAGCCCAGAGCCTGCTATCCAATAGCCAGACCGAGTCCGAATCCGAGTCCGAGTCCGCGTCCGAGTCTCTGCGTCCAATTGTGCCCTTGCCCAGAGACTAATTGTAATTCAAGACGGGGGCGATTTTATTATGGGAATTACGACAACTGCAACGCACAATGCTTAGGCCATGTTGCTGTCTCTCTCTCTCTCTCTCTGCCTGTGTGTGTGTCAACTTTACCTTAAAAGTTGACTTATGCGAGAAGGTTGCTGCGCTGGCCACAGCAGCAACACGCCAGCAACATGCTGCTGCTGCTGCTGTCATCGCTGCTGCTGCTGTTGCTGTTGCTGTTGTTGTTGTTGTTGTCGCTTGAACGTTCAAATTGAAACACTTCGGAGACAAATTGTTATCGTTTAATTTGATCAAACGCACGATCTGGCTGTTGATTTTGTGCTCAGCTGCAAAAAACAACAACAAGGAAAAAAAAAAATGTTGCCAGCAGCGCGACATGTTGCTGCTGTGGCGGCTGCTGCTGCTGCTGCTGCCGTTGCTGTTGTTGCCGCTAGCATTGCGTGATTTTTATTTGGTAGCAAACATTCGCGGACAGCTGGCGGACAGCGGAGCACAAACAAAGAAGGCCAACAAAAGGATGTGGGGCTTGTGGTCACCAGCTTGGATTTGGTTTGTCTCATTGTTGTTCTTGTTGCTGCTGTTGTGGCCTTTGGGTCTCGCCTGTCGTCTGGCTGGCTCTGCTTTTGTTTTGGCGATCTGCCGCTGTAGTTTATTGTATTTTCATTTCAATGTCCATCCGTCTGGCCAGTTGGCAGTTGCCTGTGCCCCAGCCCCAGTTGCTGCCCCCAAGGCGCAAGCGCGCGCTCTAATCCTTTTATGTTGTTGCCTGTTGCCAGTTGCCAGTTGCCAGTTGCCTGTTGCCCCATCGCCTGACAAATCACTGGCGCAATTTATTGCATTGCTCTGGTAATTATTTGCAATTTATTGCACCCCGCTCACCTGGCCCCGCCTGCGGCACTAGCAACATTTTCTTCGTGCTTTTTTAGTATAACAATTACAAATATATATCATAAACAATTTCAATCTGTAAACTCTCTCGCTCTACATCGTCTATTTGTTTTTTGCTTCAACTCTTTGCAGACAACTGGGGATATCATCGACAGGGCTCTTGTCAGGCTGGCTTCAGTGCGGCTGTCAACAGTGTAAGTATGATTCAACTGGGCATATTAGCTATGGTATTCGGCTTGTCAAGGATTGGGGTAGATAAACAGAAAAATAACAAGCAAAGTTTAGGGTTTTGTAAATATTTTATCCGATACGTCTTCCTGCTACGGATAGTTCACATTTTAAGATCGGCTGGAACGTATTATTTAACACAAGCTGAAAAAAATGAAAACTAAGTTTCGTTTCTTGAAGAGAAATCTGAAACAACCCGAAAGACGATATCATATAGATACCTATATGGTTTTAATAATATACATAAATGTATGTAATAAAGGTTATTAAATCTTCTCTTGTTTTTTCATGCATATTCAGTTGTTATATATACCCCGGATTGCTAAACCCTATAGATATCCTAATTGTATGAACCTATGCAACATGGGGTATTCTATCTTCGGGAGTCTGTTTCTGTCTTTTTGTTTCTGGAATTCTTTAGTATATCCTATGTATGGTCAATTATATAAATATTTGTAATATAGGGTATTCAGTCTTCGGGAGTCTTATTGTGAAATGTTTCTGTCTTTTTTTCTCTCTGGAATTCTATATCCTATAGAGGCGATGTATGGTTAACTATATAAAACTATGTAATAAAGGGTATTCAGCCTTCGGTTCCCTTATCATAATTTGTTCTGTTTTTGGCCACATTAAGTTATTATATGCATGCCACGGCCAGGCGAATAGATTTGGGCTTGTATATGGGTTTGGGCCTTAGTTTTGGGCTTGGGCTCGAAACTTGGGTCTTGCCCGGCGTGGGCACGTTTAGTTGGCACCTTGTTGCGATCGTGGCATAACATTTGCATACACAAAATCTTAAATATTCGCATTTCGCATTTGCAGAACGGATCGCGTTTGTTCATTGGCGCACCTGGCAGCTGGTACTGGCAAGGTAAGTGAACGTTTTACCTTTCTCTCTCTCGTTTATTTGTATTTTTTCATAATACGAGTACCGCGCAACGTTTACATTTAGTCTGAAACAATATAAAATAAATATATACTTATAAAGTGCAGTTTTTATATTTATATTGTATGTATTTTTTGAAATTGTACTCGTGCTACTTATAAATACAACAGCTATTATTCATTGTATTCAGTTATAGTTAAGCCTTTAAGTATTATTCCTAGCAAAAGTGAGCCGCCAACCCCTGTCCCTCGCCCTACACAATGTACGTAGTACCCGTAGCTCTTTGGTTTGATCCACTTTTATTATGACTTAATACTCTTTATTTCCCCCCACTTTGATAAAGCTGCAAAATGTTGCCTTGATTTTGCATTAGTTCTTTTTATCCCTTTGTCCCTTTATGGTTTACCCAATAATTACAATTGTTGCATACAAAATTCTTGAACTTTTGTGTTAATTTTAGTTTCAGTTGTATTTAATTTTGAGCATCTTTACAATTTAGATCGTCCCTAACCTCACACAAAAACGAATAACCTACAGATAAAACTTAACCTCTGGGATAGCGTCAACTTAACCGACAGAATGAATTCTTAGCATTAAATTAAGCACAAATTGTGTACCGAATTGTCTGGTGCTCTAGTATATAACATATTAAGTCCCTGAACCTAAGACCTAAGCGTAGCCGGCAAAATGCCACAATTTATAGATTAGATTGTCTCGTAACATTAGAGTTTAAGCTTACGAATGCGCGGGCTTGGAGCTGGAAAACTATCAATAGTGTGTACCGATAACACTTTCGATACATTTCCAATATATTCACTTTAAGTCGATACACATTTCGCTTAATTGTAATCGCATTTACTGTCACAATTTCAACGATCGATAGTTTTCAAGCTCCTGTTCATCATGGGTACCTATTGGGTACAGTTTAAAGCTATGAATGCACGGGACTGGAGCTGGAAAACCATCAATAGTTTGCATCGATGACAATTTCGATGCGTCGATAAATCGATTGACATGGCACTAAATGGTCATCTCACTTACTGTCATAATTAAAACTATCGATAGTTCTCAAGCTCTTGTATGTTGTCTGTACCCAAAAGGTACATTGTGTACTTAACTTTAGATGTTAAACAATAATAATTAAGTTATGAGTTAATATTCTTAGTGTTGTCGAGTTGTTGTTGTTGTTTTTATCATCCAAAATTTATTTCACAATTGGACTCAATGTCGTTTCGTGTCGCCGCTGCTTGAACGAAAAACCAAACCAAAATTTTAACCAAAAACCCATTCTGCTGACAACTCGTACACCATCTACAACTCGACAGCAAGTGCCGCAGACACAGACTAACCTCATGTTAAGTTTACCGTGTAGTCAGTTTAATTTTTGATGATTGTAATATGTACCGTAATTTAACCGAAGCGAGTTCTTAGCTGCATTTACTGTATCGTATTTATAAATCTATACATATATATATTTTACTGTAAATCGTAAACGTGATTGTTATCTTAACTGTAACTATTAATTTAACTATAACTATAACTATAACTATATAACAGTACCTGTACCTGTACCGTATAATGCGTCAGAATTTCCTACTTGAATTTTTAGTCGACTTTTTTTTTGTCTCATTTTGATTAATATGTATTATGTATTCTTTTTTATTCTCTCTCTCTCTCTCTCTTCTTTTCTGCTCCTATTCACAATCTGCCTCGGCGCAAAATGCATGCAATTTCGTACCGTATCGAACATGAAACCAAAAAAATATAAAAATAAAAAAAAACATCTATGCATTCTGTACCGAACGCCATGACCTGTGTCTGTTGTTCAACCCAACCACAACCACAATCAAAACCGAAACCAAAACCAAAACCAAACAAACCTTTCAACTCGATTACCAACTCGAAACCAAACTTCTGCTATTATAATAAACTACACAAAAAATAAAACATAAAAAAAGGACAAACCTACTCAATACCGCCCGATGCCGAGTTTCCATTTAAGCCGCCTTATTATCAGCCCTTCGGCACTGGAGGTAATAATAATAATACGCAAATACGCTTCTCACACCGCAAAGTCAGCAAAAAAAAAAAAAAAAAAGAAAACCTTACATACAACATTGATCAACATTAACCCTTAAACCAAGTGCCTAAAAAAAAATGAACTGAATAAAACTTGTACAAATTATCTGAACTATAGAAAAAACGGCGCAAGCTAAAATCGTTTCTCCATTTACCCCCGCAATACATAATGGTGTGTGTGATAATATTACGAATACAACCTTTGAACTCATCCATTGGCGCGCAAGCTGTCGAGTCGGGTCAGAAAGTGGCGTTAACGCGGCTTTTTCCCTGGTCACGATTTGACAGCGATCGCCTATATTCGCCACAACGTACCACGTACCCCCCGCCCCAACCCTCATCGAACGCTTCGCTAACAACGAGTGCAACGAGGGCTACGAAAACCGCATATAAACGTACCGGCATGCCCGAACTGCCTCGTCACGCCCCAGGCGCACAGACTGCCGCTCTGGTTGTTGTCAGCACCACAGCAATGCTCATAAAACATAAACATAGTACATAGTATCTGGTACATACTTATATTTAAATTTATATAGGTAGCAAAATCAAATATCAAGCATAAACATAGTAATAACATTTGAACTACTTACGCGCACGGTTAAAGCAAGAGGTTCGTTTTCGTATTGCGAGTGAGGCGCAGCCAACTTAACAAGCGCACTCGCATTTAATTCGTGCTGCCAGATCGCTAGAGTTAGGTATTTATCAATATGCAGCACTCATGTCAAGCTGTTCTAGATTTAATTTAAAGTAAACAAATTAAAATATTTGATTGAAATATCTTTTTTTATAAATCTGGCACTGCCAATGCAAGGTGGCAACGCTGCACTCTTAACGTCTCATAATTTCGATTTATAATCATACTTGATGCTGCCACGCCTGCTATGGCAGGCAAGGTGGCAACGCTGCAGCTATAACGTGCATTAAAAACTGGCAACTCCGCACGAGAATTAGTTAAACCTTATGTTAAAGTGGCTGTTAACTTCGGCCGCAAGGAAGAACATGCTGTGACCAAAGATAAAGTAGAGAAAGAAGCGAACTCTCTACTAAGGCTCTCTTGCTTTAACCGCCCAACTCACATATTACACTTAAGTTTTAATCTAAGTACTTAAAAACTGCTCATGAGCTTTTTTTAATTTGGGTTTGGATATCGTTGGCTGTTGGACTGCTACTAACCATTGCCCATGGGTTGGGGCAGCTGTCAACCGAAAACGCATCGCATGCCTCCACAATTGGGATCTGGGACTAATCCACAATTAGCGGTAGTAATTGTTGTCTTTACCTAGTAATTGTAGATTATTGTAGAACTTGAGTATTTATGACTTGTCTTGCATTGTTCTTGTTGTTGTTGTTGTTGATGTTGTTATTGTTGTTATCATCCGGCATGCCACTTTAATCGTAGCTAAACACACATCTCACCCAACTGATCCGTAGATACGATCTGCCAAATCGAACCGAATCGCACTCAACCAGTTAACCCGCAATATTCACAGGTCAAGCGATATCGCAGGATGTGACCAAGCCGGAGAATCAGGTGTTCTCCACGGCGGAGAGCACATCGGCCAATGATGATTCCTATTTGGGCTATTCGATGATCACCGGCGATTTTGATGCCGATCGCAGCGAGGATGTGGCCATTGGCATGCCCCGCGGCGCCAATCTGCTGGGCAAGATCGTTGTCAATCGCTGGAACATGGCGAACATATTCAATATAACGGGTCGCCAAATAGGCGAATACTTTGGCTATGCTCTGGCCACCAGCGATGTGGATGGCGATGGCCTCGACGATCTGATCATCGGTGCGCCGATGTACACGGAGCCCGGCAATGTGGAGGGCAAATACGATGTCGGACGCGTCTATGTGCTGCTCCAGGGCGGCACAACACCGGTAAGTCACCAGCATGAGCCAATATATGGTATACGGTGGCTCTTTAACTAGGTAAATCCCCTTTGCTGTCGTTACAGTCGGAGCATTGGACGAGGGAGCACATACGCGACGGCTTCCATACCAAGGGTCGCTTTGGCCTGGCACTGACCACGCTCGGCGATGTCAATGGCGATGGCTATGGTGACTTTGCCGTCGGCGCACCCTACGACGGACCCGAGGGTCGCGGCGTTGTTTACATCTATCATGGCTCCGCGCTGGGTCCGTTGCTGAAACCCTCGCAGATAATCAAGGCCGAGCAGCTGGTGGAGGCGGCGCCATATCCGCGCACCTTTGGCTTTGCGCTATCCGGCGGCGTGGACATGGATGGCAATACGTATCCGGACTTGGCCGTTGGCGCCTATGCCTCGGATCAGGTGTACATCTTTAAATCACGCCCGGTGGCCGCTGTCAATGCGGAGACCGTCTTTGCCAGCAGCTCGAAGCTGATCAGCCTGGACGATCGCACCTGCCAGCTGCAGCGGGATCACACAAAGGTGCCCTGCATGCCGTTGAGCACCTGCTGGAGCTACACCGGCCGCTATCTGCCCAATCAGTTGGACTTTGAGGTTTCCTGGCTGCTGGACGCGAAGAAGACGCGCAATCCGCGCATGTTCTTCCTGCGCGACGAGGGCAAACACATACGCAACCAGACGATACGCCTCAGCTATGGCCAGAAATATTGCCTCAATGAGACCGTCTACCTTATGGACGGTGTGCAGGACAAGCTGACGCCCTTGGAGGTCGAGGCGCGCTACAATCTGCGCAGCAGTCGTCCACTCGAATCGCTCGTCCGTAGACGTCGCGAGGCCCTCGAGCCGGTGATCGATCAGAATCGTGAGATCATTTTACGTGATGCAATCAACATACAGAAGAACTGCGGACCGGATAACATCTGCGAGCCGGATCTGGCGTTGACCGTCACGTAAGCTAGTTGTCAACCATTCCAAGGGAATAAACATGTGTATATAATGGCATTTACTTTCGTCCTTTCTTCCATAGGGCCGTCGACAAGTATCTGTTTGTCTCGGGAGAGCCGCTGACCATTGAGGTGCTCATCAAGAATAACAACGAGGATGCCTTTGAGGCGGCTTTCTACATGATGACACCCCGGGACTTGCAATTCATCAAAGTGCAGCAGCTGGGCGAGAAGATTGACCTGCCCATCACCTGTTCGGTGCCCGATAGCAGCAACAATTACACGCTCAAGTGTGATATTGGCAATCCGCTAAAGGGTGGCAATATGGTAAGCCCCTCTCTCTCTCTCTATCTCTCTCGCTCTCTCTCTCTGATCACTTGATTCCTAATCCTCTTGCAGACCCATTTTACTGTCAGCTTTGTGCCCGCGGAGAAGAACACAAACACGTCCAGCTATGACTTCTTCTGGGTGGCCAATTCAACAAATGTGGAACGCAAGAATTCAGAATTCGACAATGTGGGCAGCAAGAGCATCGGCGTCTGGGTGGAAACCGATCTGACCATCAAGGGCACCTCCCTGCCGGACTATCAGGTGTACAAAGCTGCTGACTATAAGGCGCCGGGCAATGCCACCATCGAGGAGGATCTGGGTCCCCAGGTCGTGCACATCTACGAGCTGCGCAACAATTTGAGCTCCTTCATTGAGCGAGCCGTTGTAGACATCTATTATCCATATCAGACCGAATCCGGCGATCCACTCATGTACATACTCAATCAGCCAGAGACGGGCGGCAAGATCAGATGCGACATGATTGAAGTCAACGAGCTAGGCCTCAAGCTGAACGATAAGCTAAAGAAGAAATCCTATTTGCATGCCCAGGGCGCGATCAGCAATTCTGTGCCGCTCGATGGCCAGGCTGTCGCCGGCGGCGAAGCTGATGGCGGCGGTGGACACTTGCAGATATCGCATGGCATTCAAACGGGCGGCACGGTTGGCGTCACCGTCGGCAATGACAATCAGCGCAGCTTGACGCCCAAGCAGAAGGAGCTGCTGGAGCGCGAGGATGCACAGGATGCCACCGGTGATGCCTCCTATGTGCACTTGAATCGTGCCAATCAAGCGGATGCCGAGCAGGAGGCTAACATCAATCAGACCAGCGCCAGCTATAGCCTGCCCAGAACTGAGCTGCTCGGACATAGCACACATGGTCACATACAAATGGCATCGCCGCAGTTCAGCTCCAGCTCCAGCTCCAGTTCCAGCTATCAATCGCGGCCGCAGCAGCAGCAGCAGCAGCTCTATGTGGCAGGCGCTGGCGGCGGCTATGGTGGTGGTGCGGCTGACAAGTCCATCTATGGCGGACGCAGCGGCAACTTCCATGCGGGCACACTCGATCTGGGCGCCATAAATCGCGGCAATGTGGACAATGAGCTGCACAACAGCCAGGCGCAGCAGTTCGGCCAGCCCGCCGTGCAGCACCATGTGGTCTACAGCTCTGGCAGCAAGCCCTATTATGGACGCGAGAACGAGGACTTTTACGACGAGGACAATCAGCAGCAGAAGGCTCTCGGACAGGGTCAGGGTCAGCATGGTCAGTGGAGCAGCTCCAGTTCGAGCTCCAGTCAGCGACGCTTTAGACGTGAGGTGCCTACCACGATAGAGATGAGATTGGCGAACGGCACCTCACCTTGCTTGGGCGTCCAGTGCCGTCAGCTGCGCTGCTATTTGGAAAATCTAGGCTATGAGGATGCCGATGCCGCGTTTGTGGCCATACGCGCTCGCATGGTGGCCACCACCATGGAGAAGCTGGCGCCGAATGTGCCCCTCAATGTGTCCACGCTGGCGGTGGCCAATGTCACCAATTTGCCCTTCATTGGCACGCCCAAGGATAAGATTGTGAAGACGCACGAGATCTTCTACAAGGCGCAGCCGGAGCCGCTGCAGGTCCCCGATGTGGTGCCTCTGTGGGTGGTCGTCCTGGCCGCCTGTGCGGGCGCTCTCATATTCCTGCTGCTCGTGCTGCTGCTCTACAAGGTGAGTTTCCCTTTAGAACATACGTTCAGCTGAGACACAAACCAACTGCATTGTGGTCATTTTCAGTGCGGCTTCTTCAAGCGTAATCGGCCCGCGGATCATTCACAGGAGCGACAACCGTTGCGCAACGGTTACCATGGCGATGAGCATCTGTAAAGTGCTTGCGGCAGCAGCTGCAGCGGCAGCGCCAGAAATTGAATTAACAAATACAAAAGAAAAAACGAACAATTAACATCGCACTAAAACAACGTACTAAAACGCAAACAAGAAACGGTTCTAAAACAAATGTACTAAAACAACGAACGCTCTTAGCCAAGTTTCAAACCGCGCGCGCGTTTTTAAAACGCGACAGCAGACGAAAAATAGAATTCAATTTAAAACAAAACAAAAACAAATTAATAATTATAATGTGCGATGTTGCGATGATTTTTTTTTTCATAAACAAAAAAACACGTAAAACTTGCCTAGTCACGAAATTAAGAACTTTCTAAAGCGAAACGGTTTAATTATACATATATATTTTTTTTATGTTTTTTTTTTTTTAATTAACGATTTTTATTTTTTCCAATGAAACCTGCAAATTTTCAACGAAGAAGTTACAAGTGCTATATTAATCTGTACTAAAGATAACTACGTTAAGTAAGTGTGCGAGTGTGTGTGAGTGGGCGTTTGAGTGTGAGTGTGAGTGTGTGCGAGTGTGTGTGTGCGTGGTTTTTCGAGTGCCTGATTTGAGTTTTGCTAATGCTAAAGGCAAGACTACAATAAAATAGAAATGAATTATTATTTTTAAACGCGATTAAATGCTGCCCGCAGAGAAGCTTCGAGATCTGTCTGCACTGCCACGCCCACTGGCGCCAGCAGCCAGCAGTAGCATAAATAATTGAAATTGAAATAATAGGTGCTACTTTAAAGCTTTTTTTTCCTCCCCCCCGCCCACTATTAATACATATAACTGAATGTATTCAGATTGTTGGCGCGCAAGAGCGTTATTTTTTTTTCAAATATTTTTTTCTTCGAATTTGTTTCGTAATTCTTAATTTGCAAATAATTTGCCAAACTCAAAGTTTGCCAACTGAAGAAACAGTTTTGAAATGATAAAATGTCTAATGTTATATTCTTTTTCTTCTTGTAATTGTAAAACTCTTTGTGTATATACTAAAAAACAAAACAACAAAAAAAAAAAAAACAAAAACAAAAAACAATTAAGGCGTTTAATTAATGAATATGCATTTATTTCCACACTACACCGCAAGAAGCGCAGATCGACTTCTTTTGGTGTACTCTCGAAATAATGAATGGGTAGTGTATCCACTTAGCTTGTTAGCCGCTGTCCTTTTGTCAATTATTTAAACACAACTCGCTTTTGTTTAATTTATTAACTGTACTTATAAATGCGTGTGTTTTTTTTTTATTATTATTATTTTTTCGCTAATTTTGTATTAAATTTAATTTTTATCATAAATTTATATAAATAAAATGACGGTAAAATTGTAAAAAATAATTGCAATATGGCATTTTCTATGGGCACAAAATATTTAAATAATAATATTGTAAATTCAAATCAATGACGAGAACCGCCAATGCGAAGTCCGTGAGCTTTTGTCAATGTGCACAGTTAATCGCCAAAAAAAAATCGTGCGATAACAATGCTCACTTTGCGCTTACGTTGCTCCCGTTGCGCTTACGTTGCTGCTCACGGTGGTTTGTGTATCGGCTAAGATACGCGCCTGCAACTACAAACCCATTTCATTTGAAATTTTCGTAATATTAACCTTTATTAACCTACCTTTATTATAGTATATTTTATGCAATTAAAATCATTAAATATGCTCCATACATGTTTTGCCTAAATTCACAGCATGCCGTGTGACAGGCGACATCAGCAGCGCGTAACTGCATTCGAGTTGCGAATACGTCACACGTAACATAGAACGGTAATTGCGACGTTCATTTTGTTCTACATTTCACTTTAGTACTCATTGAGAAAGCAACGCTTCGCGACGTGAGCCACGCAGTTGACGGGCGTTTGTTATTGTGCGCGTAAAACTGCAACTGTTTTCTTTTTTTTCTTTATTCAAATATAAACGCATATTAAATTGTTGGTTTCTTTTCGTGTTTGTTTTTTGATTGTGTGCGTGTCTAGAAAGTGCATGGCTCGCAATGAGCGTCTAAGTTGAGAGGCTGTGAGCGCCCATCAAAGTGTGCGAGAATTGAAAAAGCAACAATAAAAACAAAGCGTTCTTTTAGCGTGTATTTAGAGTGCGTCGTGTGTTAACATAATAATTAAATGCTGCTAAGTGTTTGCTGATTACTCTTTCAGCAATAAATACTATTAACGAGAGTGAAATAGCAACAAAAACAGCAACTAATTCGAATAAAAGGTAAAAGCTAAATTGTTTAAGCTAAGCTTTCAGGTGGCTCAAAGCGTGCGCACCCATATATGTGTGTGTGTGTGTGTTTGTATGTGTTGTGGAATGCAAGAAACAGCAATATGTACAAATGTGGAGCGAGTACATTCATTTCATTGCTAAGAGAGCGCACTTTCAAGCCGTAGTTAACAAGTCAAAAAGTGTCTCTGTGTTTGTGCCTGTGTGTGTGTCGGTTTTTTTGTGAGAAATGCCGGCACAACCGGTTCGGCAAGTCACCAAAGCAAGACTAGCAACAACAAGAACAAAACGACGTCGAAGACGAAGGAGAAGAAGAAGAAGAAGAAGAGCAGCAACACGAGAGCCAATGTCAATGCTGTGCAGGCAGCGCGCTATGTCGTTTGCCTGGGAAGAAGCTGCGTTGCAATCTCTTGATTTCTTTTTTTTTTTTTTTGTGGGGGTTGTTGTTGCTGCAACATGCGCTGCCGCAGCACACATCAACCACCCACACAGCGTGCATGTGCGCGCGTATTTCCGAAAAGTAAAATTCCCATAATTAATGCGTAACGGCGTCGACGTCGCCGTCGCGTAGGCAGCATCTGCGCCGACAGCAGCTGCGTCGCCGACGATCAGGGATGCGCAATAAACGATAGCTTCGTGCGGTGTACATCCGTGTATGTATGCATGTGAGCGTGTATATGTATGCTCAGCTCTGCTTGCGTTGACGTTTCCGTTTCTTTCACCGCTGCTGCTGCTGCTGCCTTTACGCGCTTTCAAATACCGTTAGCTGTTCTTACTTGCTTTTGTTTCCTTGTGCTGGGCATGTGCAAGTGCTGCTTGTTGTTGTCTTTGGAGCTGCGTTTGTCTTTGCCTTTGCATTTGCGCATTGTGGCGCTCACGCACGACTTGAACCCATCGACTCCCCCCACCCCCACAGCTCGTGGTCAGCCGTTATACTGGTTACCTTCTTTTTTTTTTGCCCGCATCATCGCAACGTTGCCGAGTGGCAACCGCCCTACCTTAAGAGAGGGTATTACAAATTCATCGCCAAATATGTAATTACGAAAGACATCGCTGTACCTGTTAGGTATACATACATACATATGTATATATAGACATACATACATGCACAAAGTGATAAGGATTCGAGAGTTGGGCAATATGGGCAAATACAGGTTTAAGTTAATAACGGAAGGATTTGTATAAATCTTGATTAGTTAATATCCAAAATTTAGGCTTAATAATATTAATATCAAGGGTATTAAGACTTCGGCACATTGAGATAACGGCTTCTCCTGTGTTTTTTTTTGCGATTGTTTTAGAGCGCTTGATGTTAGCATCTGCACACACCTAACTACATACATACATATGTTTACATACATACATAAATATGAAAACTAACCGCGCCCTTTTCCGTTAAACGTTTGAACTTTTGATTTACGCTTGAACTAACAGTGAAGCCGACGTCGATGCGGGATTGTCGTGTATATATACATACATATATGTATGTATGTATGTACATATGTATGTATGCATGTATATATGCATTTATAAATCAGCCAAGTTCCATTTAAGATTTGTTGCAAACTCTTCCCAGCTTGGGCAGCAACAGAAAAGATCTTCCACTGAAAAGGAATCAATCTTGCGCTACGTTACGTAGTGTGCGTTACGTGACGTAGTTTTGCTTAGTAATTTAGCCGCGAATCGGATAAGATTCAAAATTATCAAAATGAACGCGAAGTCGATCCATCATAATTGATTTCTTTTAAGTTATTTTATTTATTTTTTTTTTTATTTTATTTTGCAGTCACTTTTTGCCTAAATACAATCTTAGTTTCTATTTCTGTTGCGGAATATGTATGTAAATTATTATTTGAAAAGAAAAGGCTGCTTGGAAAATGGATGGAAAACCAAGATTCTTATAACTATGTCAAGTATGCATATATTAAATATTCTTATGCACTGTAGTTTTTACACTATAAAAACGATAGGTGCCGTACATCATAGCGGGCATACACTGTATGTGTGCAAACATATTTGCAAACATTTTGCTGCATATTCTGTTATCAGTTGCTGCTGATCAGACATATTCACATTGCCTTGTGCACAGCTGAGCGTAAACAACGCTGTCGCCGTCGCCGTCGCAGTCGCTGTTGGCGTCGCTGCTTAGTAACTACAACTAGGCTGACAAATTGTTGACACATTTATTTCAACGACAACAACCATTTCGAGCTCTGTTTGTTGTTGTTGTTGTAGTTGTTGCTGATGTTGTGCAAGCCAAGCTGACAGCAAGGTTATCGGTGGGCAGAGCTGCCCAATACGAGCGTCAAATTGTTTCTGTCTGTACATGATGCCCATTAATAATGTGCACAAAAGGGTATAATGAGCTTGAGCTTGTTTGCGTAAGGCACCAACTTCTACCTTAAAAGGTAACATATCAATTCGGACTCGATCTGTCGTGTCAGTCTGTTTTTTATAAGCTGTAAAAAGACTTCAATTTTTGTTGTATATACACATATTTGAATGCGCTCTGAATGCCCTTTCAACAATATATATTTAACAGTTGTATTCTATATGTGACAGATCTTATCACAGGGTATCTACTAGTCGCGCGCTTCCGCACGCAGCACACTTATTTGTTTGTTTGTCGCTGTTTCGCGTATCTGGAAACACTTTTTAATAATGGGCGACGATGTTCGGTGCACCATTAGGCCAAATTAAATGTCAATAGCACAAAGTGAACAACATTCGAAACGTGCGACAGCAACAACAACAACTTTAACAATTAGGGGAACTTCTCTAGGTAGAGTAACAAATGAAGTTTAGACGTTAATGCTAACTGCGGCATATCAACAATGCATACCCTGCAAACAGGACAGGCATTCAATAAAGTAAAGTAAGGGATATTTGTTTTTCCCAAATGTAAGCTCAGTTGCTTAAATATTATATATTATCAACCATTGTTAGAATTAACGCATATGTGTTCATACACATGTCCGAAGAATGTAGATAAGATTGGGAACATAATAAAGCGAGTTATTGCTGAGTTAGGATTAGATAGCTTACAAATAAAAGGAAAGGAATAAACAAATCTAAATGAAACATCGATTGTTTCTATGATATAGATCTTTGATCAGGCGCACAGGCTAACAGATGTCTGCCTAAAAGCGTTACACAGCTCGTGCAGAAAGTGGAATACCCCTTTTGTAGAGTATAGAGTATATCATAACAAATAGCAGCTCAATAACATGACAAGCTGACAGCTGATCAGCTCGACAGGTGCGCAAATCTGACAGCCAATTACGCACGCCGTCAAATTGAATTTCCATGCGTTTAATTTGTACAACATTCAATGTGAAATGTTGAATGTGGAATGTGGAATGAGGAATGTTGTTGTGTGCATGCTAAACAATGTGTTTGGCACTGTGACTATTCAATTTGTGGCTGTCCAATTGGCAGTCGGCTTGGTTTCATTTATTTGGACCAGGCTCTGTGACCGCCAGCAATTTGGCATCGAATGGGGTTCAACTAATGAGACCATTTATGGTGAGCCAAAGCGTATGTCACGTGGGCTGAAGTTATTGAGGTGAGCTGAGGTGTGGGCAAATCTCGGTGCCAAAAATGACTCTAGAACTCTAAAAATCAAGTAAGTGTGCTCTAGTCGGGAGTGCACGACTAGTAGGTACCCTCAACCTAACTGCCGATACAAATATTTGAACTTTCTTCCTTACACATACACTTGATGCTGGATAAACTTCGGTGCTTATGGTCCGATCTTAGCAAAAGTTTAAGGCCCTCAGCATGGCATACAAAAGTCTATATAGCCCTTAGCCCAAGGCTAGATCTCTAGGCTTAAAGTAAGTTACTTGGTAGTATATTTGTGGCTCATATTCGTTCAGCTCTCACGAGCTACATTATCATTACATTTTGAAGTCTAGAATGTTTTTTAGTACAAAAACTGTAATAACACAGTCTGATTCTGAATATCTGTATCTGACTGAAATAATAATATACCACTAAAGGATGTAATAATCAA